CAGCAACAGTATCTGCAGCAGCAATAGCACCAAAGCAGCGGCGAAAAAACCACCACCAGCAGCAGCAGCACTAGAAGAAGAAGAATAAGACACACGAAGACCATCGTCTGCAACACACAAACCCTAAACCCTAAACCCTAAACCCTAAACCGTAGCAATAAATACACGAGAAAAGAGGCTGAAAAACCAGCATTCTCCCCCTCACAAAATATTCTACGCTCCAAGGGTTTAGAATCTAGGGTTTAGGGTTTAGGGTTTAGGGTTTAGGGTTTAGGGTTTACAGGCTCTGCTGGTGGGGGCTGTTAAGACTTTGCGAATTTTGCAGGTCACCGGAACACTCAGGCGGCGGTGCATCGCAGACACCATAGACCTAAACACAAACCCTAAACCCTAAACCCTAAACCCTAAACCCTAAACCCTAAACCCTAGATCATGGAGAATGGAGAATGGATAGCGAAGAAGAAAACCATGCTGTGTTGGTCTTACACTCTTAATAGTTAATGCTAAAACACTAAACCCTAAACCCTAAACCCTAAACCCTAAACCCTTGGGGGTTTAGAGTACCTTTATTTGTAGCAGTAACAGAGATAAAGAGATAGCCTAATTAAAAGATAATAAGGAGACAGAAAAGGAGACACAGAAAAGGAGACAGAAGAAGAGACAGAAGAGGAGACAGAAGAGGAGAGAGAGACAGAAAAAGAAAGGAGACAGCAAAAGGAGAAAAAGGAGACAGTAGAAAGAGAAAAAGGAGACAGAAGACAGAAGAAAGAGAAAAAGGAGATAGAAGGAAAAGAAAAAGGAGACAGAAGAAAGAAAAAAAGGAGACAGAAGAAAGAGAAAAAGGAGACAGAAGAAAGAGAAAAAGGAGACAGGAGACAGAAGAAAGAGGAAAAGGAGACAAACGAAAAAGAAAAAGGGGACAGAAGAAAGGAGACAGAAGGAAGAGAAAAAGGAGACAAAAGAAAGAGAAAAGGAGACAGTAGAAAAAGAAAAAGGAGACAGAAGAAAGATAAAAAGGAGACAATAGAAAGGAGACAGAAAAGAGCAAAACAAAAAGGAGACAGAAGAAGGAGAAAAAGGAGACAGAAAAGAGAAAAAGGAGACAGGAGACAGAAGAAAGAGTAAAAGGAGACAGGAGACAGAGAAAAAAGAGACAGAAGAAAGGAGACAGAAGAAGGAGAAAAAGGAGACAGAAGAAAGGAGGCAGAAAAGAGGAAAAGAAAAAGGAGACAGAAGAAAGAGAAAAAGGAGACAGAAGAAAGAGAAAAGGAGACAAAAGAAAGAGAAAAAGGAGACAAAAGAAAGAGAAAAAGGAGACAAAAGAAAGATAAAAAGGAGACAGAAGAAAGAGAAAAAGGAGACAGAAGAAAGAGAAAAAGGAGACAGAAGAAAGAGAAAAAGGAGACAGTAGGAGACTGACAAGATGAGGTCTGGTTCGTCGAGGAGATAAGCCCCGTAGTAACCGCGACGAGCTATACCCTACAAAGAGAGACAAAAAGAGACAAAAGGAGACAAAAGGAGACAAAAGGAGACAAAAGGAGACAATAAAGAGAATAAAGGAGAGTAAGTGAAGGCAGAGGGAGACAAAAGGC